GTGTGAGCTTTCACTTGATATTCACTCAGAAGTATGACAAAATGAATGTTTTGCATCTTCAATTCCATGGGAAGAACTGGATCTTGAGTGTTCGGCAGCATCTGAAATGCCTCCTGAAATCAGGACTCCTGATTTCCCTGGTAGTGTTTTTGAGTAAGCAAATCCTAACCTAGTAACCTTGGAATGAACAATAAGCCTCAGAGTTGCTGCCCTGCAAGTTTCACCCTGAAGCTGGAAAAGCTGCATATGTATGAGGCTGCAAAGCTTCAAATAAATAAAAATGTTGTGACTTTAGTTGAAGGAACCGATGAAAGTCATTGTCAGCGGTGATGCAGACAACAATCTGTATATTTTAATCATACATTATGTTTAGAGACACTCTTCCTAAAAGAGAGGCAATGATTTGTAAACCTGAATAGCAGTTAATTTTTAGCCTCGTTTCCTAAGGACATGAAGCTGATGATGGCATTTCATTGTTGGTTGAAGCTGATGTAAAACTTCTCTGTGGTAGAAGGGTGTCTCTTCCTGCCAGCCACTCATTCCTTCCCACTTTGTGATGCCAGCTTTAGCACCTGTACAGCTGAAACAGGAGCTCACTGGTCTGGCTGAAAACCAGTCCTGATAAGTCTCATTCACTGCACAGCCACATGAGTTTTGAAGCTGTGGCAGCAGAAGGGCGGAAATTGTAAAGCAGGGATGAGACCATTTCTTTTGGAGGATGTACAGTTTACAGAAGATTGTGAAACCACACACAACTGTCACCATCATGTTCTGTTTCCCAGGCCCCCAGCCACTAATCTGTTGAATTTCTTGCCAATTCCACCCAAACCTGAGAAAGAGCAGGAGGTTTTGAAGGTATTAAACCTCTACAAGTTCCATGTAAGTGGTTCACAGAAGAAAAAGATGAATGCTGTCCTTGGGGACAAGCTACAGCCTGCACTGCCAGTTCTGGTTAGTGCAACATCTGGCCAGGCAGGATACATACTCATAACTCAGGACTCACCCCCAGCATGTCTTGCCTTGTGCCCATGCAGTAGCTACACTTGGAAGACACAGTGATGCTATTTGGCTTCTTATAGGTGGAATGGAGACAGTCACAGAGCACGTGAAGTGTTACAGTGCTGACTCTGTGGAGAGACATAGATTGTGAACCAACTGTGATCTAGCTCCTCGGCTTATGAAACACCTTGATGGTATTTTTTTATGAGCTTGGTGACTCAGGGTTAAAGGAAGAATGAGAACAAAAGAGTAAACATAAAAGGGTTTTTTTGTGTTCATTGTGATTTCTTTTCACTTCAGGTCACCTAGCATGAACATTCTTTCATTGTTTTGTGTTTTTTGTTTTGCTTGTCTACAGCAGGACTTCTTAAAAAGCCTTTATTACTCATGTGAAGTTTTGCATCAAGTTTCAATGTTTCCTTTGAATCACACAGTTTAACAAAGGGAATTTAGAACTTGAACTGAAAAGCTCAGCAAAACTCAGTAAATAGTCATGCTGTTTGTCATTAAATACATGTATGCAGGAGTCCTTCTACTGAGAAGGGTATTTGGACTATGTATGGTAAAATTAAAAATGTCTGCCTTTAGCCAGCGAGCCTGAGCTCCATAATAACACATGCCTTTATGGTGTAATGTCATCTTCCAGAGTGGCAAGGAATCTGATCTCCAACACTTGGACTGTCCACGCCTGGTGGTGGGTGGCCCTCTATATTAGATATGAATAGATATGAATGCCTAAAACTTAATGATGTGAATGAAAGCATTGAGTGTTTATGGGCAAGGATCAAGGGGAAGGCCATTAAGGCAGACATCACAGTGGGAGTTTGTTAATAGACCCCCCCAACCAGGATGCAGAGGCTGATGAAATATTCTATAAGTAGTTGACAGAGGTTACCAGCCCTTGTTGTTGTGGAGGACTTCAACTTCCCAGATGTCTGCTTGAAATATAACACAGCAGAGAAGGAACAGTCCTGGAGGTTCCTGGCATGTGTGGAAAATAACTTCCTGACGTAGCTGGTGAGGGAGCCAACTTGGGAAAGTACCCTGCTGGACCTTCTGCTTGTTAACAGAGGGAGTGGGGTGTGTGAAGGCTGGAGGTTGACTTGGGCAGAGTGATCATGAAATGTCAGAGTTTTCAATTCTTGGAGAAGCAAGGCGGGGGGAGCCAGCAGAATTGCCACCTTGGAATTCTGGAAGGCAGACTTTAGCCTGTTCTGGAGCATGGTTGAGAGTGTCCCTTGGGAGACAGTCCTGAAGGGTAAAGAAGCCCAGGCAGGCTGGTCATACTTCAAGGAGGAACTCCCAAAGGCACAGGAGCAGGCCATTCCCAGGTCCCGAAAGACGAGACGTGGGGAAGAAGACCAGCCTGGCTGGACAGAGAATTTTGGTTGGAACTCGGGAATAAAAGGAAAGTTTACAGTCTTTGGAAAAGGGGATTGGCAAATTATGAAGAACACCAAGATATAGTGAACCTATGCAGGGGGAAAATTAGAAGGGCCAAAGCCCAAGCAGAACTCTACTCAGCCACTGTGTTTTTTTCCAGTATATCAATAGAAGAAGGAAGACTAGGGAAAATGTAGGCCCACTGATGAATGAGGTGGATGCCCTAGGGGTGGAAAGCACAGAGCAGGCAGAGTTACTGAATGCTGTCTTTGCTTTGTTGTTCACTGCTAAAGCTGTTCCTTATGAATACCAAACCCCAGAGCTAAGGGGAAAGATCTGGAGAGGAGACTTTCCCTCAGTAGAGGAGGACTGGTTTAGAGACCAGTGGCCAAACTGGACATCCATAAGTCCATGGGCCCCAATGGGATGCACCCTTGAGTGCTGAGAGAACTGGCACATGTTACTGCTGGACCATCATCTTTGAAAGGCCATGGAGAATAGAATAGGTATCTGAGGACTGCATTATGGCAAATATCATTCCAGTCTTCAAAAAGAGCAAGAAGGATCAGCCAGGAGACTACAGGCTGGTTAGTGTTCCTGGGAAGGTGACGGATTAAATAATTCTGGATGTCATCTCTAAACACATTGAAGAACAGAAAGTTATTTGGAATGGTTGACATGGATCTATCCAAGGATAAATCACACTTGACTAACCTGCTAGCCTTCTATGATGTCATAACTGGTTGGCTGGATGAGGAAAGAGCATGAGATGTAATCTACTTTGACTTCATTAAAGCTTTTGTCACTGTCTCCCATAATATCCTCGTTAAGAAACTCAGAAAGTGTGGGTTGGATGGGTGCACAGTGAGGTGATTGAGAGTTGGCTGAGTGACAGAACTTAGAGTGTTGTGATCTGTGGAGCAGGGTTGAGTTGGAGGCCTGTAGCCAGAGGTGTTCCCCAAGGGTCAGTAATGGGTCTGGTCTCGTTTAACGTGTTCATTAGTGACCTAGACAAGGGGACAGGGTGTATCCTTAGCAAGTTTGCTGATGATACGAAACTGGGAGGATTGGCTGACACACCAGAGGTCTGTGCTGCATGACCTGGACAGGATGGAGAGTTGGGCAGAGAGGAACTTAATGAGGTTCAACAAGAGCAAATGTAAGGTCCTGCACCTGGGGTGGAACAATGTAATGCATCAGTATAGTTTCATCATCATCACATGCTGGAAAGCAGGCATGAGGAGAAGGATCTTGGAGTCCTGGTAGGGAGTAAGTTAACAATGAGCCAGCATTGTGCCCTTGTGGCCAAGAAGGCCAATGGCATTTTGTGATGCATTAGGAAGAAAGTGGTGAGTAGGTCAAGGGAGGTCATCCCTCTATTCTGCCCTAGTGAGGCCCCATCTGCAATACTGTGTTCAATTCTGAGCTCCCCAGTTCAAAAGAGACAGGGAACTACTAGAGAGAGTCCAGCAGAGGGCAACAGAGATGACTGGGGGATTGGAGCATCTCCCTTATGAAGAAAGGCTGAGAGGGCTGCGACTCTTCAGCCTGGAGAGGAGAAGGCTGAGAGGAGACCTTATTAATGTCTGTAAATATCTAAAGGGCAAGCGTAAGCAGGATGGAGTCAGGCTCTTTTCAGCAGTGCCCAGCAATAGGACAAGAGACAATGGGCACAAGCTGAAACACAGAAAGTTCTATCTGAACATGAGGGAAAACATCTTTACAGTGAGGGTGACAAGACACTGTGGAGTCTCTGGATACGTCCAAGGCCTGCCTGGATGCAGTCCTGAGTAACATGCCCTAGGGGATCTTGCTTTATCAGGGGAGTTGAACTAGAAGATATCTAGAGGTCCCTTCCAACTCTGACAGTTCTGTGATTCTGTGTGATTCTTGAATCAGAATTGGAATTGGGGATCCTCTGACCTTGAAATAACTACTTTTTACATAAGAGAACTTGGACTTCTTAAATCTAAGAACATGATTTAATTTATTTGAACTATTAAGAACATAATTCTAGGCACTGCATTATTTGAAAGTTACATTTATTCTGCCCTGGATCTTTGAGTGCATTGCAATATCAAACTGGAATAGAACCCAGCAATCTTCTACAATAAAAGTACTGGGGGAGGTTGGTGACTAGATCAGCAGTAGAGGCATATGGGAGATTTTAATTTTTGTGGGATTTTTTATTATAAATTATACTAACTAATGCAACTTGTGTTGATTTTTTTAGAGTGTGGTTATGGTGGTCTTCAGTGAGGATAAAAACAGAGATGAACAGCTCAAGTACTGGAAATACTGGCATTCTCGGCAGCACACTGCTAAACAGAGGGTCCTCGATATTGGTGAGTGTAAGAGGATCTCCAGATGTTCCAGGGAAGATTGCAGAACGTGGAAATCTCTGGTACCTTGCACAGGGATGTGGTGGGATATATTGTCAGTGGCTGCAAGTCTTGTTCCACGGTTTTTAGTAATGGCTTGTTGCTGCTAGGACTGGGCTATGGGATCTATGATACAGGATGAAGGCCATGCAGAAGGAATGGTCCTCAGTAGTCACAAAGTAAGGCTGCCCCTTGCATGTGTAGTGAGTGGTATTCCACCTTCTGATGCTGGGAAGTCACAAGCAGAGTGTTTGTTTCCTTTAGTTTTTCAAAGGCTGATACGCTCTTTGATCCAGTAATAATAGCAGCCCACATAACAGTTAAGATGTGTAAGTGCAGCCTGAGAGTGATGATGCTATCATTATGGTGACTGCAAAGGAGTCTTATAGCCCCAGTTCTGGAGTCTTGTAGGTATCAGAGAGAAGTGAGGGAGAAGGGAGCTCTGGTGTGCTATCCTGAGAGACCTGTTTATCGTTCATCCCATCTAAGGTATTTACAAGCCCATTTCACCCACAACTGCCCTGTCCGCATGCTTGGGAGATTTTAGCAGAGGAAGAGCACGTACCTGCTGCCAAGGAGCCTGAAGTTGAAATCTGTGGGAGTGTCTAGACATCAAGCGCTTCTCCCCTCCCACGTGCAGTTTACACACGCAGCCATCTGCAGCGGATTCCAGTCAAAGGAGTCGGCGAGACCAAAGCAGACAATGCCTATCTTGTTTTGACCGCCTGAGGGAACCAAACCATTGAATGGCAGGAATGAGAGGGGGCAGAGCAGAGGGGGGAAAAAAGCCTAGTTACTCAGAGCATTGCAAGACCTCAGAGGTGATCAAACACCTCAGTGCTGGGAATCAGTCCCCAAGTGTTCCTACTCATGCACTGCCTTTTGACTTTCAAATGCTTTAGTCTCCACTTGAGACTAGTATTATTTAAAGTCAAGTGTGTTTGGTCAAAGCAACTCTTCCAGGATCTCCTCTCTGCCTCCTGTCATCATAGTTCTGGCTGAACTGTTTAACGGTTTCCCCAAATTTTCTATCATTTATTTATTTATTTATCGGTCCTTTGGGATAGTTAAGGCAGTAAAACCTCCACCCTAGACCAAATGACTCCTATCATGACACGTTAAAAGAGCCAGTATGCCACGTCACAGCTATTTCTGAAGGCTGCCTGTTGTTTTGTGCTAGTCCCTACAAGCTTGCAATGTTAATGCTCATACCTTCAGAGGTGTGTGTGCTGAGGAGCTTGTTCCAGTGCAGTGCCAACACCCTCTGACTCCACTGCACTCACAGTGTACCAGCACATTTCAGCCCCCTTACCTGAACGAGGCAGCTTTTGGTGCATGTTCTGTAAAGCAGTGCTCTGCAAAGCAAGTGCAGTACGTGACCTGTGTGTTTATCTGTGTTAGAGTGAATGTCTTTTATGTTCCCATTAGTTTGAGATGAAGTAAGTCTGTGCTGACTTCTGAGGCACTCTGGCTTGTGTTCTTTATTTGGACTGCAAACACGGGCAAAGCCTGGAGTGGTAAGAGTTACTGATACAGCACTCCCTGTCAGATGTAAGAACTGTAAGAGCACCTAGATTTTGCTCAGTAGTGTTTTCTTGAGAACAACTGAAATATGGCCTTTGCTTCCCAAACATAATGTTTTTGAAGTACATTACATTTTCCTTGGGACTTACATTGTGAATATTTGGCTAATTAGGCCAGAATGGCTCCCAGCTACCTTTCCCATAAAAGCATCAAGCTATATTTGGCAAGATCTTTCCGTTTTCTCATAAGATGATCTTGCTCATCAGATGAGCAAGTTAATCCACATTTGAAGTTAGCTGTGCTTTGAGGAGGAGTAGGGTAGGGGTTGAACCAGATGACCTCCAGGAGTCCCTTCTAAGCTAAATTATAGTGTGGCTTTATGAAGATTTCCCTTCACATTAAAAATGCAGCCCCTTGAAGGGTTCCTGTAAGGAATACCAAGTCTGTGTCCAGGCCCTGTGTAGTTAACAGAGAGGTGCCTGTGAGGGAAAAGAGCAAAACCCAGGATACGCCCTGGAAAACCATTTAAACAGACACTGAGAGAAACTTGCTAAGGGCAGGAGTGGGTGTCAGATTGGTCTCAGTTTCAGGGGATGGTCTGGCAACCTGCTGTAGCCCTGCTTCTCTGATACTTTGGATTTAACTCCAAGTATCAGTGATACATAAAGGGTTACTTTTGTATTTGGCTCCTTTAAAACTACCTGAATAGCCATAAGTCTGTGTAACTCGTTCCGTAGATGTTTACAGTAATTAATCTTATATTAATTTTATGTTTGTAGCATGTGTTGAACATCTATAAATCTTTTAAAATTGTTTATTAATGCATTTTTAATCTAGAGTATGACCTTGTCCTGAGCAGGCAGAGGATCAAATGAATTTGGGACATTCTAGTTCTGGGGTCCTGCTATTCAGCCCTCAGATAGGGGTGATGACTCTGCTTGTGCTGCTTTCTCTGGTGGCACAGGTCTTTCTGCCTTCTGACCTGCAGTTACATTCTGGACATCAGAGGAAACAGTGACTTGTTCCCTCACTCCTGATGTGCAGGGATCACTGCTTTAATTTGTTTTATGTGCTGGCTGGTGCACCTCCTGGGAGGAAGGTGGTTGAAAAGGTGGTTGAATGGATTAGATGCACTACTGGGTCTGTAGATGCATAGAAATTAACAGGATGGGCATGTACTTACATGCAAGCAAGTCATTAGTGCTTGAGGAATAAACCTGAGGACTTGACACTTATTAAGCAAGAAGGAAGAGTGTTTTCCAGAAAACACAGTGTGCTGTTGTGGATTTTTCTGAAGAAGGAGGAAGACACTTTCACTGTTTAGCACAGGACTGGGAGGGGGGGAAAGCTGGCTTTTCCACAGTGCTGTGACATTGGATCACTAGCTTTTTCTTTCAAAATGCAGATTATAATACTAGATTGCAGCAAATACTGATTGTTTATAAACAGTACCATAATTTGATAGATACTGGAACAGGTTCAAACACAGACATAAAGGGTGGATGTGGAAGCTTTGGATTTGGAATTATTTGTGCTCCAGAGCTTTGCCCATAATTTTTTGCAGGATAGTTGGTATTACTTATGTGTACAATACAACCAGCACTACAGTGATATGTAATGGAGGTAAATGATAAGTGTTTAATGTTGAAATTTGCCATTGTTTAATATGCAATTTACTCAACAAAAGAGTAAACAATTCCTGTAAAGCTATTTTCTTGCGTGTCAAAGAACTCAAATTTTCAGTTTCAGGTAACACACAGCAGCAAAAATGAAAAACTGTAGTCATATTAACAACTTTCAAATGTCCTTGGATGTAAATACATTCTTAATCTACTGAGGATTCTTCTTTAATTACTTGTAAATTGAAGGGAATAGGATACACTTCTGCTTTTAAACAGCATGTCACATAGACACTCCATGAGATTTGTGTATAGCAATTAAGGGAATGGAGGCATGTGTAGGGGGAAGGGGAGGGCTGATGGGATGTGAGATTCTGACAGCCTTTTAGGAGAAGAAAACATGTGTCTTTACAAGACATCTTATTCGTGTCTTTCCAAAGTGCACCTACACAGCACGCCCATATGCAGCAGTCAGTTGCATGAGGCATTTGCTGGTGAATCATAAATTTAAAGGGTGGGTGGATCTGTGCACATGCATATTAAACTTTTTATGTATCTTCTAATTCCTCTCATTTGCATTACTACACTGAATTTAGGTAGTGAAGTCAATTACTTCAGTTAGAAAGCAGTTCTGAGTTCATGATGGGAAATGAAAAGCTTGCTGGCTCTCTCCAGCACCATGTTCACTTGCTACATCACCAGATATCTTGTGCTGATCCGGTGGTCGGAACAGTGAATTTTTACTGTATCCAGGATAATTTCTGTATACTAGGCACACAGTTTTTACTGTATCCAAGATAACTTCTGTATACAAGCACCCAGTGAAATGCCATCATCCCTGCATTTCAGATGAGAGAAAAGTAAACTGATTGTGTGTCTCAACTGTTAAATAAATCTTAGTTTTTAAAGACAAACAGTTGATTGTTAGAAAGGCAAAGGAAATTAATATTTAAACCACTCGAGTGTCTCATTTATAAAATACAAAAAACATCCTCTTTCTATACCTGATTACAAAGCTAAGAATTTGTGTGCTTCTGAAGCACAGACTTGGGCAAATGTTGGATCAAGATTGCTGCATGATGTAATCTCAGCCCTCTGGTACTGAGTTCAATTACAGCCATTACAGGCCTGAAGGGATTCTAAGGAAATGTGTATGTCCCAGAGAGAGCTGATGCATTTGCCTGAAGAATCTGGGAGCTCCTTTAATCAAGCAGACATGACCTCCTTAAAAACCTGCTCTTTGTCTTAATCTGTCATCAAAAAGAAGAAAGTGTGTTAAAGACCTGGAAGTTGTCTGTTTTGGGTGGTTTTCTGCCCTTACTGTTTTTGCAGTGGGTGGGTCATCTTTGAAATATGGACTTTGTCCCTTTTGCTTTGTGTTCCTTCTGAAATGCCACCTTATTTTTAATAATAACAGCCCTTTGGAAATAAGTGAGAAGAGGGTGCAGATTTTATAGTCAGACAATTTGACTTTGAAATATGAAATATTGAAATATGGACTTTGTCCCTTTTGCTTTGTGTTCCTTCTGAAATGCCACCTTATTTTTAATAATAACAGCCCTTTGGAAATAAGTGAGAAGAGGGTGCAGATTTTATAGTCAGACAATTTGACTTTGAAATATGAAATATTGAAATATGGACTTTGTCCCTTTTGCTTTGTGTTCCTTCTGAAATGCCACCTTATTTTTAATATTAACAGCCCTTTGGAAATAAGTGAGAAGAGGGTGCAGATTTTATAGTCAGACAACTTAAATATACTTTAGGTTTGGTTACTGTTTTAGTATCATACAGACTTTGATTCTTTGTTTTCTGTTTTTTCTTTTTTTTGTAGTGTTTTTTTTTTTGTGTGTGTGTTTTTGTTTGTTGGTTTTTTGTTTTGTTTTTGTTTTTAACCAGAGATCCAGCATCCAGTGCAGTAATTCTTGGGAAAGTTGAAATGGTTGTGCAAGGAATGTGTACTACTGATTATTTCCTCCAGTGATAGCTCTTAGCTTTTTAGAAAGCTTCTTTAGGATTTACCATAATGTCATTTATTTATGTCAAGGTTTGCACAGTCCCTTTAAATGTTTCAAGAGCTTTTAGTTAATTTTCCAGTTTGGGCCATTACTTGGCCAAGCTAATGAACGCACCCACTCATTCCCACTAGTCACACTGATTCCTTTTTGAGAGCAAGCAATATTTCCCAAGAACATTAGCTAGTGATTTACTATGCATAAGACTCAAGCTGCAGTATATTACCTCTTTGCGATTAAGCTTAGATTAAGCTTAGATTCAGCATAAATACTACAAGACATAGTTTTCATGCATTAGACAACCCAGCTAAAAAAGCAAATACATACTAGGAACTGTGAAAGAGAAAGTTCAAATTTTTTGATAAGTCTTTTGTTTGTTATTTCTTACAGCTGATTACAAGGAGAGTTTTAATACCATTGGGAATATTGAAGAAATAGCATTCAATGCTGTGTCCTTTACTTGGGATGTCAATGAGGAGGCAAAGGTGAGGAAAAGCCATCCAGATGGCATCCCTTTATAAATACCATTCATCCTTAGTCACTGTTCCACTTCTCTTCTTTTTAACAAATAATAAGAAGGGTGGGTGAAGGTGAGAGAGCTCAGTCTCTGCAAAGCCAGGCAAACCGTGGTGTTTCACTAACCCCAGGGATTCTGGCCATCTGTACAAGACAAGATGGTACCTAATGGCTGTTGGGATAATATTGCATTTGTGTCTATATCACTGACAAATAGAGATGTAGTTGTGAGGCAAACATGCAACACTCTCACAGTGTAGTTTTTTGCTTGTGTCCTCTCTTTGATTTTCCATTGAAAATATGGCCAGTCTGAGAAACAGTAAAAGTTATTTTCCTACTTAAAAAATCAGTGTAGGACAAGGTGAATAGCTTCTTCTCTAAATTATCAACTTCCTTTCTATACTATTAGTATCTCAAATAATCAATATTCTGTAAGCTAGACTATGCCTTCCTTTGTGTTTGTGCCATTATTTTTTAGTGTTACACAGACTGTCCTTGCAGGTGGGAATGAATGTGTTTTTCAGAACTGGTGCTTTCTGCCTGTCCCTCTCTTGTGGTCCAGTATCCTCAGATGTGGGGTTTTGCATTCAAGGATGTGACTTCTGCAGTGGACCTATAAACAAGGACAGCAGAGCACCAGGAGTTCCTTATAGATAAAGTTATCCAAAGAGTGGCAGAGTGTTTCAGTTTTATAGACTACTGTGGTAGCAATGAAAGGCTGCCGGTAATTATAAGAAGTTGGCCCCCGAAAAGCAAACAATAAAGGAAATAGGCTGTGTAAAATGAGTGGGGGTAATGTGGGACTATCAAGGACGTAGCAATAATAAACTGCTAACACTACTGACCTTAGCAGACTCCTTGATACTGTTTTCATGTTGAATACAAAAACCCCAGCGTTCAAGTAATGTTAAGGATCTTTCAAATGCAGAGATGTCTTCATGCATGATTCCCTACTGCATTTCTAACAGAGCCATAGAGAGGTTGCATAGAACATGTTGTGGTCACTTTAACAGTCACTGTCCTGTCTTGCTGACTAAAGGTGCTGAGGTTCATAGTCACAGTGATTTTAATCTCTGATGCACATTTGAAAAGAACAGAGCACTAAAGAAAATACAGTAGTTCTGAAAACCACCTAGCTCTTTCAAAAGCTGGCTTTGGTAAACAAAGTTCTACTTGGCTCAGTTGCTAATGGTGCTATATTTATTCAAGTAATGATTACATTCTCACCACCCCAGATATTCCTCTATTATGTGATTCCATTTCAAAACACAGCAGTATGTTGTCCTCTGCAGTCTTAACAGATTACCATTGTGTGCATGTGATCATTATGCAAACAAATACGGGTTTGGGATCTCCAACATGACGAACTTTCCCAAGGACATTTACAGAAGCACTACCAGGGCTGGAACATGGCAGTTTCATCCCACCAGCAGCGGCCGAATCCATTGCCAGGGCTGGCAGATCTTTGACACACTTGCATTTACAGCTTCAAGCCAGACTTAGCAAGACAACATGTTGATCTAGGAGCAAGAAAGTCACATTGGGTAATGTCAGGTGTTATCCTCAGCTGTTTTGTTCTAATCTCATGCCATTCCCATTGCTTCTGCCTTGGGTGCTGGAACATTAAGAACACAGTCTCACAATGATCCCATGAAATACAGAAGATTTTAAGATAATGACTCTCTTATTGTTGCTGGATTAAAAAAGTGTCAGGAGTAAAATTTAAGAAAGCAACTTGTATTTCTGTAGGAAGTATTCATTAAAATGCAAATTGTCTTATGCGTATTTATTTTGGGGGTAGTTATAAAATAATGGATCTTTTAGGAGCTTAAGGTGCAAATGTATTGATAAAAGCAAGAAGATTCACAATGTACTTTGGTATTGGTCTATCAAGCATAAATCAGTTTGTACCTGCAAGCTTATCACTGTGCACTGAAGTGTTTCCTTCCCAGCACATATGTGCACGTACCCACATGCTTGCTCTTGTTGTAGAGTCTTAATACAATAACCAGTTGTTCTGGGTCTGGGGATTCCCATAGGATGCCCCTGCAGTGTTTAAAAGTTGTGGACTCTTGAGGCACGTCACTGAAGGCTGTTTTTTCTCCAAAAATTACCTCATCCTAGAGAGATGAAGAATTTCAAGGCCTAATTACAGACTCTCTTTTCTTACCCTTATTGAATGATGATCTTTAAACTGGGTTCATTGTTTCTGCTTAGTGTTTTTTTTTCCCTTTTTACCACAATTTCAAGATTAAAACTTAACCTCACAGGCACAAAGACCTTCCTCTTCTGAGTCAGACAAAAGTGGCACAGAGCAGTTCTTTCCAGGGCCTCTGAGATGTGATGAAGCGCTCTACTGGCCCGGGAAGAAATAAAGAAAACAGAGACCGACCGCTGGAAATGCACAGGGGAGCAGTCTTGAAAAATCAACCAGAAGCAGCAGAAATCACCCAGCCAAATATTCCTGTTTCTCCTTAGAGACTGAACCTGCATCTAGGAAGACTTATCTGGGGCATCGGATTTCTCACTTTCCTACTCCACCTGGAGGGTAGCTGATATTAAGACAGATTTCTCCTCCCACACTGGAGCAGAGCAGTACCCTCCTCCTGGAAGCCCTTCAGGGTGAGGGTATAACAGTGTGGGCGTGACAGCCAGAATCTGCCTGTTAACAGTGAGTCTGCTAAGCATTTGTAAGGCAGCATCTCAGTTGAATCTTGCATGGAAGAAACAAGCATTCAGAGTACAGGCAGAAGCCTGTCTAACGCCTCAGTAAAGTGAAGGGAGCTGGGGTGTTAGCTCCAGCTCCTCATGCTCTGTCCTTCATCTTCTGACTACTGCTTGGCAAAACAAGTCAGTGAAAGATGTAATCTTGTACATCATGTGTTGGGCTGTGGAATAATCTCACCATTGCTTTCTGTGGACTGGGAGTACAGCACCAAAAGCAGAAACACCACTCCACTAGCATTTCCTTTGCTGTATTTGGTTAACAACAGCAGTCCCCTTGCCTTCTGGCAGAGCAGGCCTAGGGCCTGGCACATCCTTTACTTTTTCTAGAACAATGTCCTTTTCTGCTGAGGTTGTTGTCTAGAGATCACCATGAGGCTTGTGGTTCAGAGCAGGACACAGGGAGATGAGGGGAAGGGTCTACAGCCATGTCATACTCTTCCTTGTGCTGCCTGGAGACAAAAATAGCACGCAATAAGAAAGCGGAGGCAGTAAGAGCACAGTCCGTCTTTGTTTCACTCCTGTATTTACTTCCATATATAAATCTGAAACATTTATGGACAGGGTGATTTGTTGGTTCCCTTTAGTTGAACCTGAATTCTATGTTTGGTATTTTTAAAGGAGTTCTTTTAAAAAGAGGTGAGGAAACAAACAGCAAGAACTGGCTGACTTTTAACCTATCTTTTAAAAGTCTTTATGACATGCTTGAAGGTAGTTAGCTGCTTTGCTGTTGCCCTGCAGAAGATTTTGCTGCAGCATCTGGCTGGTTGACAAAGTTCTAGTGGAGGCCTATCAAACAGAGAGCTCAGCTTCCTTTTTGATAGACATAAATCTGCCTGCTTGTAGTCTGATTGCTGACAGAAGTTAGCTCACAAGAAAGATAATTAAGAACCAGAACTCTCCTGACCAACGGAGGACAACTTTGTCATAAATCATACCAACTCTTTGAGGTAGCCTTCTCTCTGATTAATACTTTCCTCATTTAAAATGGTTAGGATGATGTTACTCTGAAACAATACACTGATTGTATGTTTTTTATGGAAAGTACTTCTAAACTTTTAATTCAAAGGTGTAGCTTCAGTGAAGAGTTGGTAAAGAAAAATGTCATCTTAAAGCAGACAAAAAAATACTGATTTCTGCAAAGTGCTGCAGCTTGGATCTGTGGTAAACAGGCATATTGGCAGATGTGTTATTCAGGCAGGTGCTGGCACATGCTTTTTGGTGCGTACAGAAGTTGTGTGCTGTGCAGTTGTTTTGTATACTTGCGTGCAATCATTGTCCTGCTATATTTAACTGAAATGTAGATCTTTAATCCAAAGTATGCTGTAGCCTCCGGGAACCTTTCCAGTTATTTAATGAGTTTTGGCATAGCCCATACAGTAATAAGCTGCGTTTTCAATGGGTGAGTGATTTGCAGGATTAGGTTCTTAGACATTGTGGGTTGAAGTGAGCTATGATCCCAGTGGGCAAGACTGTAAAATCAAGCTGACAGAGCAGCAGAGTGTGGCAGTGATTTGTATTATGACAATCCATTTTTCTTTAACATTACTGGCAATACTTATGACAAGCTTTGACTAGGTTTGACAATTAGTTTGTTCTTACTTATTAATTTTCTTCCTAACTTAGATAAAATTTAATTTCATTAAGGAGGAAATAAATATATTCTCTACTCTCAAATTGTAAAGGTTGGAGGAAGATACTTTGTTTGGGGGAATTAGTACCAGGAACTATGTAGGATTAGACTTGTCAACTGGTTTAATAAAGTATGTCTGTGTGTGTACACGTGTGTGTGTGTGTTTGTATATATATATATATATATATGCCATGCATGCGCACACACATGTATATGTAAAAGACAGTTGACCAGTGGTAGCAAATAACTTTGAAATTTCAGTGTCTACAAATGGTTCAGTAAGTATGCATCTAGGATTCAAGGCAAATGTCATTTTTATGTAGTTGCTGGGGTGTGGTGTAGGTTGAGGAACCTTCAAAAGAGTAGTGTAAACATTTGCTGGAGACATTTGTATTGAAATAAAACAAAGGTCTTACCTTTGTATGGGATTTATAAGGTAATGGCTGGCAGGAGAAACTATAAAACCACACTTTCTGTGCATGTGAGGAATGATGGGATTGATGTTAGTCATTTAAGAGACAAGTAATTTAACTCTTTGTAGTTACAATCTGGAGGAATGAACTACCTTAAAACAAGATTTTGTAAAGACCCACCACCCAGACGTAGATTCTCTGTATTGCCAGTATTCAGTAGAGAAATTGCTGGAAGTTTCTGGTTTTGTTCTGCTTTCCTCCCTTCTGCCCTTGGCTCTTTCTGAGATGATGTGAGCCAGAAATGTAAATAATAATGAAAGGCTTATATTAGAGGTTTCATAACTGCAGACCTTTAAAATGTATAAGCTGAGAGACCACAGCAGGAGTCATGTTGGCTGGATTAAATGATAAAACGGGAAATGCATTTCTGGGCCCTGCTTTCACTTAAGGCAGGTTAATGTGTTTGTGTCTTGTACATCACTAATTATGCTGCAGTGTTTAACAAACACTCAGTAATTCACATAATAGCAGCTACACTGGGGAAAAGTGCCTTTCCCAAAAGAGAGAATGCTTTTTCTGGACATGCGCTATAACAAACAGAAGAGTTGTCGTTATCTTAGGCCACTTTTGAAACTTTCTCAGGCACCTAATGTTTCTCCAAATTAGTTTTTCATTGCCAGTGGCAAGCCTGAGCTGGAGACTAGATGGGTGGAACTCTATCATTAATTGTTGTAATCTAAGATATGCTGACATTAAAAAAAAGAGACATCGCTATAATGACAACCCAAACTTGTTCCTGATAGCAAAACATTGCTAAAATCTAGTTCGCACAGGAAAAAAAAAAGTTTGTAAATGAATTCAGGTACAGCCATAGTTACATCCATTAAAATAGTTCTAAGTCAAGTATAGACAGGACTCTGGTGGAAAAAAAAACCACAACACAGTGATTTCTATTATTGCTACTGTCATTTCTACTTAACTCTACATTTTCTAACCATGTAACTACCATGCAAGAGATGAGAGCAAGGAGGCTCTTAAACCAGAGTATCTTCCAAAAGGGAAATAGGTAGAACAGGACATAAACAACTCCACAGGGAGCCAAAACAAATTTGCTCCTTGTCTTATTGAGAGTGGGAGTATCTGCATTATGGACAGGAGCTGCAGAGGAAGGAGAGATGAGGGATGTAAAGGGCAAAGCAGGCAGTGCTTGGACAGGCAGGTGAGATCAGAGCAGGCAACATTCCTCAGCCACTGCCTGGAGGAGGTGAAGGTTCCTGGGCAGGGCAGGGGTAGACAGAAGGGGACTCTCCAGAGGGTTCCCCAGCAGCCTGCAATTCACTGCAGCAGCCTCCTGCACCACGGTGTTGAAACGGGTACAAACCTTCAGTCATGCAAAGAAAAAAAATCCATCTAAAATCAACTCAAGTAACAGAACTTCTTTCCTCTTCGCCCCTCCCTCTGCAACCGCCATATGTTTTCCAAATCCAGAATCAGTGTTGTGCTTTACAGAAAAGCTAATAGAAGTTTGCGTGGAGACAGAAAATTTTCCCAAAAATAAATGATCTGTGTTAATTCGAATCCATCTGTCTATCTGTGAAGTGCAAATGATGTGACAGAAAGTATAGTATGCTTCATGTGCATGAATGTACAGTTACTGCTCCTCTGAGACATTCTGATGTATTACAGTGTCAGGATAAGGATATTGAATCTTACAGCATCAATCTATTATTCATGCTGAATAATCTGTTATTGCTGTATGGGGACTCCTAATAAAGTCTGTCTTCCCCAGCCACTCCTGCTCTGAGGCTCAGTGTTTCTGGAGGCAGCGGGACAGATATGCAGTGTATGTCGTTGATTAAGGTGGAACAAGGCCTTTCTTTACTTCTCAGCTGAGAGTGAAGCCAAGGTGGTGGGTGCACAAACTGCTGAGCCGATGCAAAGCCTGCACATCCCCTCTCACATTTTTAAAGTACAATTTGGAAAATCCCTCTACAGAAGTATGGGCTAAAATATAGCAAAACTAGACTGTGTTTTATGCTAGACTTCATTGCACTGCTTGTGTTCACACAGACTTTAAAGCAATACCCTGACACTGTAAAGGAATCTCAAGGCAAATGAAAATTCAGGCCGTTATATTTTGAAGGCATATGCACACATATCCACACTTACCTTTGGAGCTGGAGGAGACCAAGTTGTAATTTGAAACAGAAATAACACTATCAGCTTCAAAATCAGAGTTTCACCTAGGGCCCTTCCCCGCCTCCCTGCTCTCCTGGCAGTTAAAGTTCAACTATTTCATTTGTAAAAGCAGCTCTGTGATACCATCAGAAGCAGAAATGCGGAGGTGCCATTAGCTCAGTCAGGCAAACAAGCTACTCTGGCTCCATCGTAAAAACCTGACTAGTGTTAACTTCTGCCATTAGGGTAAAATAGCCCTTAAACAGCCCTACTGGAACCCTTCTCTGTTCTCAGCTGCCTCCCTTTTAGGGATGGTGGTATTTGGGTCACTCAGACAGGCTTTTTGTTCTCTTTGTGCATATCCCTCTAGGGAGGGATACTTGGTGATGGGAGACCCTTCTGCCAGGTGCTGTACAAACACATGGCAAACAAGGCACACCTTGTCCCCCAGCGCCAATGGAGGTTAGAGGGCAGGAGGTGACTAGTGACTGTCAACAGACATAAGTAGGTACAGAGGGAAAGCACGAGGTTGTTTTCTGAGGCCGGGCTTGCCAAGAATTGAAGACAATGTCAAGTAGTGTGGATGCCACATGGCAAAGAGGACTTTTAAGAAGAGGTTTCACAAATGTTTGAGAAACTCCTTCCCTGTATGAAAGACAGGATAGGATGCATTTTTGACATTGAAGAAAAATAGTGAAGGACACTTTAAGTGAAGGAGTATCTGTTGGTGTAATGGAGGAAGGAGTACTACTGATGACAGCATGAAGAGAATTAGGGAGTAGGGGAGGGTAGGACTTCTCTTTGGCCACACTGAATTTAAATTTTGTTCTGTCAGAAAAGCCAGACCAAAACATGGCTGGAAAGGATGATGCAAGATGGTCTTAATATATCTACATTAATAGTGCAAACGTACAGAGCAGGTTTGTAGAGTGAACCAAGGCAGGGCTGAAGACCTGACATCCACGTGAGACACTTTTTAGGAGATTTTATCTCAGGTTATCTGTAGACAGTTCCTACAGATTGAGCAGGTTCCTACAGATTGAGCAGGTGGAACATGTGAGGTTTGCTTCTAGGACACATCTTCTGGTCTGGCTCTTCCAAAGAGAATCTAGAACATGCACTCTGAGTTCTCTGGTGTGAATCAAAGCACAGTGAGTTGGGGCAATAAAAAAATTAACCAAAACTGTAGACTCCTGACCCAAACTGAAGCATCAATACATGCCTTAAAAGTTTGTCCTTATTCCCAGTGTGGGAGCATCTTTGCTGGATTTAGGACAGAAGTAGGGAATAAATGTGTGAACTGCCAGACTGCAGATTGTAACAGAATGAATGAATTTTTTTTTTGGAGGGGCTATTAGCTTTTATTTTCCCATTTGTTCTAATGTATTTCCAGAAATATAGGAGTAGTTTGTACTGCATATTAAAAGTGATCTCTCTGCCACACAGATTTTCATCACAGTGAATTGTTTGAGCACAGACTTCTCCTCACAAAAAGGAGTAAAAGGCCTTCCTTTAATGATTCAGATCGATACATACAGCTACAACAACCGCAGCAATAAACCCATCCACCGAGCCTACTGCCAAATCAAGGTTTTCTGTGACAAGGTAAGTGGAAAGCACAACTACTGTGGATGGAGGAGCAACCTCATTAGGCAGTTTTTTATTGCTGTATTTTAGACCTAAA